CTCCCCAAAACCCCAAAACCCCAAAACCCCAGAGCGAAGATATAACTATTTAATCAAGAATTATGAAATTAAAATAAAAATAAATACTTGCTTAGTTTGCCCTTTAATGGTCCCATATAATAATACTTCATTTATCAAACTTCTTTCAGAGTTACAATATTTCTTCCATCAAGGAGATATTCTTTTTTAAACACATCAGAATACAAGAAATCATCAACATGATGATGAGCTAGATCCTTAGCTTCATTTCTCAGCTAGTCTAGTGGTATCATAACTTTGATTCTCTCATTGTCATCAAGGCCTTTGATGTACTTATCGTAGAGAGCTCTATCACTGACCATCTTTTTCAGAAGGTGGATTAGGATTTGATTTGGATCACTTTTCTTTGTCTTATACTATTCAAATCTCTTTGCTAGATGTCTTGCAACTGATAGCTTTTAAGATTGAAGAAAGCTCTCAAGGAGCATTTCGATAGCCAAATCTATGTCATCAATTCTAACATAATCTCTTAAATGTAATTTGGCATGAGCTTCTGCCATTCTTAAGACACTCTCAATATGCCTTACTGCAATTGGAATACCTTAGACTAATGACGATTCTCTCCTAATATCAGCATAGAATTAAGTTATTTTGTCTTTATCAATCTCATTCAACTTCGGATGCACGTATTTCTTAGCATAGATTATATACTTCCTCAGCATTTACTGGTCTATTGTTTCAGATTGATCAGTCTAAAGCTTAGAATTATCTAGAAGAGTACTAGATAGATATTCCATGGTTAACTAATAGTTTTTAAAATCCTCTTCAGTTTTGCATTCTTCATCCTTTTTCAAGAATTTCAAGTCTTTCTGAACTTCAGGATGAGATTTGATGTGGGAATTAATTACAAAAGTTGATAATGCATCATCATGCTCTTCATTAACCTCATCCTTAATGACTGACAAAATGTCGAATCTTGACAATATTGGGTCAGTTAAGTCAACATTATCTATGAAATTAAGAGCTGTGTTATAGACTCCTTTAACAGGATTAGCTGCTGCTATTATGCTACATCTTGCTGAGAGAGTAGTAACTATGCCTGCTTTTGATATGGAAATACTTTGCTGTTCCATTGCTTCATGAATTGAAGTTCTATCTTGATCGTTCATCTTGTCAAACTCATCGATAAGACAGATTCCTTTATCTGCTAAAACTAAGGCACCTCCTTCAAGAACCCAATCTCCTGTACTAGGGTCTCTATGGACTCCTGCTGTAAGTCCAACTGCACTAGCTCCTTTTCCTGTAGTGTAGACAACTCTGTGATATACTTGCTCAACATACTTGAGAAATTATGATTTAGCTGTGCCTGGATCACCTAGCATCAGCACATTGATATCACCTCTAATTCTATGCTTGCCGCTTATATCTTTTGACTCTCCACCAAACATCGCCAAAGCCAGAGCTTTTTTTACAAATTTATGCCCATATATAGAAGGAGCTATTGAATTTATAATTTTCTAGCCGATTAATGGTTACTTGGCAAGTTTGGTTATTTCTTCTTTATCCTCGTCAGTTAGAATTATCATATCTTCGTCTCCATGTCTCTTCACATAATTAGCCTCAATTATTGTGTTGAAGACTGGGAAGCCGTGCTTTATGTTAGAGATATAATCAAAGATATTTATGAATATCCCAGTAATCTCAACTTCATCGCCTGGTCTAGCAGAGTCAACTTGATCATTGATGAGATAGATATCTTTTTATCTTGGAACCCTTCCTGGTGGAACACTGCCTGGAGTCTCCTAAATAGTCATTTTTTGATAGTTTCTGTATAGAGTTTTTGATTCATCAATGGTATATGGACCATTTGACTAGCACATCACACACTATCCAAGATATTGTCTAGGCTCTTTAGAATTACTATGATAAATTGGCCCTTTTAGATCTCCACATTAACACCTGAAGTAAATCATGTTTAGCTCTGGGAAAATGCTTGATCTTTTTGTTACAACTCCTTTTACCTTAATCAGCTGATTAATGTGCAGCCTTCTTAAGTCTCTGATCTTATCTTCGACAGGCAACTCAATGATTCTGACATATAATTCATTATGGATATTGAAGTATTCTGAGTACAATTCCAAAGTTATTTCATAGGCAACTGTATTTAATATAGGAAGAATCCTCAGAGGTTCTTCAGCAAGCCATATTGCTAGAGTCGGATTTTATCTGCTAAGGTGTGAGAAATTTACCTCTAGACTCTACTTGTTCTAAGAACACATTTCATTGATCCTTTGTTCGTAAACATTGACTTGATTTTCATCCTTGTAAGTTCTAAGGAAATGTGAAAAATTCTTCCTTATCCACAGCACAACTTCTGGTCTCTATATCCAAGTGCTAATTTTGCCTCTAACATCTTCAAAGTCGAGGATATCTCGAGCTTCTTAGTTCTGATTATTGTCTATTACAGTTAAAATGACAAATTACCAAGTTGCTTCAATCTCTGCATGTTCTGCTTTCTTTTAACTTACTGAGACTCTTCATCTTCTTCATTGGCCATATCTTCGTTCATATCAGTATCCATAAACGCCGCTGGAACTCTCTTTTTGAGATTCTATTGATCGATTTGCATCAACCTCTCCTGCTACAATAGCTCTTTTTCTATTTATCTCCTCTGAAATTGGTCAAGTTCCTCTTATTGCTCATCATCTATTCCCTCCTCTTCGTATCTATCTAACTCTGGGTTTGCATTGTAATCACTATAAAATTCATGATCATTTAAAGTAAATACTTCTCCATGTTCTCTAGAATGTCTTCTCCATCTTCCTCTTCATTATCAACTTGATCCTCATCTCTCTCAAACTCATCCTCAAAGCATTCTTGTTCTTCTTAAACTCTTTAAGTCCTTATTTCTCCTTCACTTTAGGAGTCTTCTTCATTGTCGGCACTAATTATGTTAATTAAAGATAAAGTATTACCCAAACAATAGATCCTCATCCTTTTTCTTGGATTCTGAGATTTCTTGTCTCTTTCTCTTTTTGTCACTTTTCTTCAGACTGCTCATTTGCAAACTCTCAAAAAATATATTATGATCAAACTCACTTTAAATTTGCTTTTAAATTAGTTCATGGGGTTTTGGGGTTTTGGGG